CCTACAGTAGAAAACTTCCAGATTTCCTGGAGATGATCTGCTACATCTGTTTAGCTTATCTGAGGATTAGATCATCCTAAGGAGTGTACTTATAATAAGGATGCTCATAGGCAACTCCTAGAAATTCTTGGGCAACATCTATCACGTCTAACATAATTCCTATAAACCTGATATATGGCACAAAAGCCAAAAGTATCTTGGAAAGATTTCAGGTAATTTGGCGTTGTGCCTGTCTTGAATTGCGTCTTTCAGACTGATAGAATTTGGGCAGCCATTTTGGACTTGCTTTCTTCACACTTTCATGGAGAAGAGCTATCTCTAAATTAGTAATAGATATAAAAAGGGAAATGAATTGGCAAAAAGTAAATGTATTAATTATAAGCTGAATTATTTTTGGAAAGATTTCAGGTAATTTGGCATTAAATGTGAGACTGATGCATTTTGCTAGGGATTTTGGACTGTTGAGGTGTGGCAGCAAGAAAAAGCAATTTGTAAACTGGTTTAGAATGATATGGCTGGGAAATGAAAATGATAGACATTAATCACTATCTTTTGTCAACTCTGTTTACTTTTTTAAAGCTTGTTTCCATGATTTTAAAAATGATTAAATGTTATTTCAAATTGTTAGTTTCAAAACATTCTTGAATCAAATCTCTTTACCAAAGTCTGGTAGAACCCTTTGAAGATCAGTTGGAGAAAAATTGGCATTTCCCTTTCTTGGTGAAGTATTTCATACAGTAATGAAATGATATCCCCTTTTTGTAAATTTGAATTAGTGTTTACCAGAAATTTGATTGTTTTTGTTTAAGCAGGACATTAGTGCATAACCAATGGCTTTGTGAAACATTATACAACATGTAATGTTATGCAATGGTCATTTATCATCGAGTTGAGTTGCAAAAGACAAATATTAAAAGGATCTGTACATAAAATATCTTTACAGCTGTTATTCTTTATACAATTATATGAAAGAGTTAAGATTAAATATTAGACATAATATGAATAAACCTCTGTAGTGTTTGAAATTATTTATTGTTTATTCAAGTATGCATACATGTGCACATGCACAAATGCATGTTCTTGTAGGTACACAGAAACACTCTTTTAGGGAACGTTCACATGGAAAGTGTATTTTCTAAAAATCTATTTTCTATTCGCGGCATCTTGTGATCACGGTCTGTGCCCTGAGTATCCCGTGGCATAATTACTGGCAGTGCAGGGAGTAACTGGCTCATGCTGCCAGTAATTACGCTGCGGGGTATTCAGGGCACAGACCGTGATCACAAGATACCGCGAATAGAAAATAGATTTTTAGAAAATAGACTTTCCATGCGAACGATCCCTTAATCAAATAGCTATGATGGTATATTTATTGTTATTTGTGTTTTTATCCCATCTTAGTTTTTGCCTGAAACATATGGAATTAATTTTGCACATTGTTTTTTATCTCCTAGAATTCTTGTTACTGTATGTTTTTGGAAAATTTATATGGTACTTGCTGCTGTATTAAAGATTAATGGCTCTTTTTTTTTTAATGGCAACATGCATGTTTTAAATGATTAAATTCTTGAATATACTCAGGTCACATAAAAACAATAAAAAAAGATAACTAAAATAATGTACTTGCAAAATAAGTGAAAGACACTGATAGTGCACTGTCCCAAAGTGATCTTGTAAAATACCCTAGCTGGGTTAGTACTAGCATTTTTTTGTTTAGCCAAATCACTACTTTTTTCATCACTTTTTTTCCAAATGGCTTAAATTTGACTATAACAAGTCAAATCAACCCTATTTTGTTTAGCCAATGTAAGCATTTGGCTTAATTGACAAGTGCTAAAGCTACCCCAGCCTAGACCATAAGATTGTTTAAATGTGAATGTTATGTATCAGCTAAGAAGTTCTTGTGCAAAACAGTGCCACGCCTTGTACGTTGAATGATGTATGTTACTTGTTTTCCCTCTCTAATTTGCTGTGTGGCTGATTTTGTTAAAATCATATCTGGTAAGGGAGGGAAAAGAGCGAAGTTTCTAAATCTCACAATTCTTTCTATTTGTTTAAGTCAAAACAGTGATGGGATAAAAAAACAAATAGAAAGAGTAGCATTCAAAGTAAATTTATTCTTAAGTTTAGACGTCAGAGCAGAGGTGTTTGTTTAGAAGACATTCAAGGATATAGCAAAAAGATCAAACGTTTATGTGCTATGTTGCCTTTCAGGGTGTAAAACTGTTGCATGGACACATGTACAAATTCTAGGGTATTCATAGATATAAGTCACAGGTTGACTTTACCTTGTTCACTTCGAGTCAGTACACTACTGAATTGAACTGAAATCTTAAATTCCTATTATATGGGGCTGAAAACTATTTTCTTATAAGGAGGATCAAGTTTTGGTAAGGTCAATCAACAACTCAACCAGTTCTTGGCCATCAAAATTTTTCTATGCTACTTTTTTCTGCAGTACATAAAAAAGTAAATATATAGATAAAAAAGTAAAAAGTAAATAAACGTGAATCTGAAGCGATGGGTGAGGCATGGCAATAATTTTAGCTGGCATCTTGATTTAAGGTCATAACCCTCAGACTTGAGAACCACCCTGCAAGTGTTATGTATTATTTATGTCTCGGTTGTCAACTTTATTTATCAAAGAGTGTAGATTAGGTACCCTGGACACCAAAAGGATAAATATGAATTTGAATTTCTGGCTCTCATTTCTCTCTGCCAGCTACGGAAAAGCATCATGTTTAGGGCGATGTGAAGAACCCAAGATTTGAGGAAGACTCCACCAAAATTACTTTCTGGATTAATATGTACTGGTCTTCATGAAGTTAGTGACAGACTCAAATTTGACCTTGACACTGTTTGAAATAAAATGCTCAGGCAATTAATCTCATATTGGGCAAGATTGAAATGGCATGTACATCTGTATATGAAATGGGGAAGAATCACATAAACATTGTACTGGTTGTTTCAGATTGGGTAGAAGGTTTACAGTGGTGGGTCAGGAAGTCTATTTCTTTTACAGTAGTCCAACCACCAGTTTCCATATGTTTAAAGTCATAGGGGGAATACACGTTCTAAATAATCCCTTAAATCAGTGGGAAATTCATCCTCTCTGTCCTATGCCTAAGCACATGGAATGTGTTTTTCAAATTGTAATCTCTTGTAATTATAAGCTTTTATGCTTATAATTCTGACTGTTGATGAAGCCCCTTTTCCTGTATAGAAAAGTATGATTTAGTTGGGTTTATTACAATGGTGGAGAAAAATTACCTCTAGCTAGAAAACTCCAAATCTGTATCTCAGTATTCATTGGCAAGGGCTACATTCATTAGTAAGTCTTTGATATAGGGACAGATATAGGGGAAAGTTTTCAGTATTTTCTTATTGTTGAAAATTTATCACCTGCTGTTTTACCAGCTAATTGCCGAACACCTACCTGGGAAAATGTTATGCTTAGCTAATCATGATTGCTTGAATATTTTGCATACTTTTGGCAGGTATATTTTTAACTGTTTAATGTACAGTCGAATAAAATATGCCATTTATCATGTTAATTGACTGGTGGGGAGAAAAATCCTAGAAAAAATATCTCAAGACTGTGGTTTAGTTTAGGTTTCTAACACAAACGTTTTGGTAAGGGCAACCAACAACTGAAAAAAAGAAGTTCCAGTCTTCACTAATCTGTTACCAGTTGAAATTAAAAATGAAATTTAGGATCATAACTAAGGCAACTAGCAGTCATTCTTAATTCAGTTGAAAGGGTTAGGAAATTAGCATTTTTGTATAGATCATTTTTGAACATTTTTTTAATTTAGCATATATTTTTTAAATAAGACATTCCCACCTTTCTTGAGAGTGAGATCACTTTCCTAGAATAACACCACTTCAGCCCTCAGTTTCCTATACAAGGCAGTATGTGCACACAGTCAGAAACATGATGATTGATGCCAAAGAATTGAACTTTTTGGAAATTTGCCATCATAGGCAGTGAAGTGTGATTGGAGCATGTTGTACAAGTAATTTATTACTAACTTGAAGCTTCAAATGTGATTTTTGTAACATTTGATAGTTTTGAAAATGATTGAAGAGTTATGGGAGAATTAGGAATGACTTCTGTGATTAGACCCTTGGTTATCATTTGGCTGCCAATATGATGTCAAAGTCTGATCACTGATTTATGCATATATATAAATATATTTTAAAGATATTGTGTGTATAATGGCCATGGATTTTGTTTATCAAAATATTGCATCTCCAGATAGAAATGAAGGCTTAACATTAAGCAGGTTATGTAGATATTAAAATAGAGCAAGTATTTAGTTTACCTGACATATTGGCTTATTGGCACCAAGTTTACTCTTAGGTTTATTTTCAAGGACAAAAAACAGACCTGCTTATTATTAGTAATGGTTTTTCTGGGGTGCATCACCAGCAGTGTGCCTGTGCAAAAATAACACACCTGGGTAAAAAAAATCATATATATATAAGTATGTTTGCGTCTCACCTCTTAACACCTGTACAGGGTCAGAATATTATACGACCTCTTGTTTTTATTGATTTTTTAGCTGTATAAATTATTATTTTTCATCTATTTGGGATGAAACATTGGACAGCGTAAGGTTAAGGAATGAAAAGCATCAGAATGCAGATGAATAAAATCACAAATTTATAAAGAAGTCATATTCTTTTGTTTAAGTGTCCTTCACCTTTGCACAATATACTATTGTATCTGAGCAGTTAAATCAGGTATTCAAATTCCTGTCATTAATTCTTAGTCTGTATCTATATATGTTCCAGTATGTTACAGTTCCCAATACTGGCATAGTTTCTTCTGAAAGCAATGAGTAGGGGCAGTTTTGTAATTACAGATATATAAATGATATTGCCTTTTTTTATCTCAGAGCATCAAGTGTTGACAAGTTTCAGAACATTTTTTTACATATTGAACATAATTTTTTCCCCCTTTTAAAATGATGTTCATATTTTCCATTTCATTTTAGAGCAATGAGTGGCTGCGAGTGCGTGTCAACCAAATGGAACCAGACCTCATGGAGGTCGGCGCCACTCTTGAAGAAGCTATTAAACTACGACAAGAACATGAAGAACTTCTACATAAACTACATGTAAGTAAAAAGCACTGTTCTTACATGCTGTACCTATTTTACTGTTATTTATGAAAAAATCAATCGTATATAACAAACTGAGTAAGTCTGTGTTTTATTTTGCGCACTTCATGCAAAGGTATGGGAATTGGGAACAATCTTTATTTTGACTGAAGTTGTGTTTCCTTCATCTTAGTATGATGTGCAATCTGTTAGTATCACACTTAAGAAATCCTTCAGTGAGAGAACAACCCAATTCCTAGATCTCCTATTGAATGATGTTGAATTTAGATTCTCTATTTGAAATATCACTCTAAGACTTATTTTATTTTATTTTGGTACTGGGGACTCATTTATTGATATAGAATTTTTAAAACCTGCCACAAATATCTTTACATTGTTGAAGCAGCAGTCCTGCATATTGCTTGAAAAAAGGCAGGATATAAATAGATTTAAATCATGTACTTCAATGGCAGATATTCTGACACCCATAATAGCCAAAAAGGTAGGAGTCATCTTACTTTCTTTATTGTGAAGTGTAAAGTCTATCCAGATAGATCTGATGTAGAATTTGTATGATGACATGAATGCAGGCCAACATGGTAAGCAGTTGTATGAATATTGGCAAAATATATAGTTTTATGCTTTCTTAAGAGCATTTCAAAACACTGATAAAATTATAAATTACTTTGATACATTTAAGATTTAATTTGACAATGATATTCCAGTTGAGAAGAATATTGAAGCTGTGAAAGTTTGGCCCAAGTTTAGTGATAATGAGTGCTTGGGGGATCTATTGGAATTTCTTTTTTTGGTATCTGGTTGCTGTGTGATGGGCATATATTTGCAGTCTAACAGGTTAGCTAGGTAAATTATATATATCTAGTGAATGTAGTTTAGTCTGAAGTGAACTGTAAATGTTGTCACACATCTGAAACAAGGAATGGAACTCAGGGAGGAAATGGCATTATTAAACATCTTGTCATGTTTGTTGTTTGTCCCATCAGCCTGTGGGATGCAATTTGGAAAATAGAGATTCAAAATTTTTGAATATATTATATTAAGATAAGGTGTGTATTTGTAGAATTTGGAGACATATACAAAAGATTTACGAAGACACTTGGCTTTCATACATGTGCATTAAATGATGATTTTTGGTCCAGCTTGTTACAAGGATAAACACATACACAGAAACGTGATGCGAAAGGAGAGAGATGAACAGAAAACGAAGATTAAATTGAAGGCCCTTGGAAAGTTCTCAGACTTCATCATACCTAAAATAACTTCACCATTTTCTGCTTCAACAAAATGTAGGTTGATGTTACTTACAGTATACTTTATGTAATGCGAATCCACTTTAAACAGACTTGGTATACATCTTAAGAAGAGCAGCTACAAGGTGAAATCTCTGAAGTGATTCATTCCTCTTGGCACTGACCTTTTTCCATTACCTGGCAAAAACAGCCATTACCAAGATTCCAACTGTTAGCATCCTACGCCTGGTAAAATTTTTAGCAGGTCTATTTACATGAAATGTGTAGGATGAGTTGTTACAGAGGTTTCTGATAGCTCCTTTTTTTAGAAATTGAGAGAACAAAGCAAAATTAAAGTTTGTCATGTGTTTTGGGTAAGGTTGGTTGTTTAATGAAGCCTTTGTATGTGAGGTTCAATTGTGGTGAAAACAGAACATTATTGCTGTAGTTGCCCTGTATCTCACCTAGCACATTGTGTTTCACTGCTCTCTGTGTTCTGTGGCAGGTTTCACAAAAAAACTTAAGATCAGATATCTGCCTTAACTTTCAGACCATAGTTTTTAGTCTGTTTTGCTACATGATTGATTAACAGTGGTCCTTTAAATGAAATTTTGCATTTATTTTTTGACATTTTAAGACCAGAAACTAATTTTTTTTATTTAGTAGATAACTACAGATTTGTCCTGATTGAAGCAGACTAAAAATTTGAACTTTTAAAAAGTTTTTTTTAGTGAGACATACTCCAGTGTAGGTAGTGACTGTAAACAAGATGCCTTTGATTTTATTGATGCTAGGTTACTCATACTTTGTATACATATACTCAAAACTGTCCTTAACTTGGCTTAATTGATATATTAATGCATTCTGTTAAGCATATGAAGTTTTATTTGCAACTGTTTTTTTCAACTTTAATAAATAAACTTGTGGTTTTTGTTACAGTAGAGTAAAACAATGATTTAAAAGAACATTCAAGATGAAAATGAAATTTGGATAATTGTATACAGTAATGTATTATCATTTGGAAATAAGCCAAATTGTATAACCATAATGACTGTAATTCCCAAACCTGGCTTTACGAAAGGTATAATTATTTGCATTCAGTCTGAGAATTCAGCAATGCTCCATCTATAAACCATCAAAATACCTGTGCTCTTTAAAGTTTCCTTTAAAGTTTTAACCTCAGTTCAGCATGTGAACATCTGATATTTACTCTAGCTAACTGTTTCCTGGAATTCACCCGGCCACATCAGCTGCAATCATGTCAAAGGCAATAGAAGTTTATAGGAAACCAGCGGCTTACCTCCTGGCAAACAGCTTTCAAGAACTTGGGGGCCTTCTAATTATGGTTATGTTTTTGAAGATCTATATATTGCTTATAATGTGAAAAGTATGCTGTCTTACCTGGTGAACAGATTCCAAGACCTTGATATTAAACTGAAGGCCCTGTCTGAGTAGAAATCTGTTTTTGAAGATTTATATTGATAGTAACTGAATACCATGGAGCCTTGCTGGTGAACAGATTTCCAGGCCTTACTGTACAACTGAAGGCCCAAATTAATTATAGCCATTGTTCTGTTTTTGAAGATCCCAATTGTTAGTAATTGGAAAAAAGTGTTTTGTGAGGTGTGAAGAAATAAGGGCGTGTAAAGTTAGTTATCAGTGGAAAGTGAACTAGGAGTGGGGTGCTGCTGCTGGGATTGCATGGCTATCTGAATGCTTCATAGGCAAGTGATGTTTTTTATATTAGTTAACATGTATGGGTTTTTTTAGAGAGAGAGAGAGATATTTGTATTAATTCATCGACTAAAGGGTATTGGCACTGCTGAAATAGATGCACTGTCAGGAAAAAACTGGTCCCAGTGGTTTGATTAATAAGTCATTTAATTAGAACACACTATGAAATATCCATGTAAATGTTTTATTACTAATTTTAGCCATTTTTGGGCAAGAACCATATTTCAAACTATAAAAATACTTTTGTCTTCCAAGAAAAGTGCTCCATGAATTATGATTATCATACGTGATTAGATAGGAATTAGCGTCTCAGTATATGCCTTTTAATGTGCCATGTTTACATAAGGCTTTTTATTTCAAATGTCACAGAGTTCAGTTTTTATATGTCACCCACAAACAAGGTTCGTCAACATGCGCTCACCCAGGATCACACTGTGACAGTCGCAGTTCACTCTCAAAGAAGA